TTGGAGCCGGCTGGCATTGGCTCTGTCAGACATGGGGGAAGCTTCTAGCAGCTTCTCACAGAAGCCGCCCCTGTAGCCCTGCCCTGCTCCCAAAACCTTGCCATGCAAACGCAATACAAGGACTGAGAGTGAAGGTCTAGAAACTAAAGAGATTGTTCTGAAAATATCAGTAATTGAACAATTTCTTAGCTTTTCTGTCATAGGGTGGTGTTTGTTATGCAACTTTCTTATTCTAGGAAAACCTTTCTCCATCCCCTGCTCGCTAGGGTCCTTCTTGAAAGTTGTGCTCTTGTTCTGTTGCTGTTAGATGTGGACATCAGACGTTCAGCAAGTTGCCAATTTGGAAGCGCTACGAACAGACAGTTTGGTCTTACTCTTTACTGATGCAGTTTAAAGCACAGTTGAAAATACCAATTAAGCATTCTTGGTTATGAAAAACCAACCTTACAGTCTGCAGAACCCCCACATAAAACTGTGGTATGCAGGCCTCAAACTGACTAATACAAAATGTTTGGGGAATAAAGGTTAATTAAAAAAAAAAAAGGCAGTAATAAAACCTTCTTTTAATGATCCAAAATACATTCTGACAAGAAACCCTCTCTCCTGGGAGCTATTGCCCTAAGATATACAGCCTGTCTTACTAGAGGAAGTTGTCTTCATTAACAGAGCTTGACTTTTCATAGACTTCATTGATCTTAAGAGGTTTTTTTTTCTCCTTATCATTTAGAATAACTGAATACTGAAGACTAATAAGTTGCATGCAGTGGTAAGTTCAACAAGTACTTATTTCCCTGAATTTTACTTCTGAAAGGGACTTTCTAGTAGCTGTTGATGAATATGTTTCTACTGCTCTCATCTGAGGGGATGGTAAAATAGTGACATTACATTAGGTGCTGAACTGAAACTTTCTTGGATATTAACATTATACATGGACTTCAATCTGAGCTGTATCATTTTATTTTGGTCTCTGCAGCTTGGGAACTGTGGGGGTTTTTGTTTGCATTGCATTGAGATCTGCTCATTTCTGCTGGTATATTATTAAACCCAGGGAAAGGAGGTTTCATTTTTAAACAAACCACAACTTTGTTTCAACATGCAGATCTTGCATTCCCTCACACTCATGCAAATGTGAAACGCTGTGTTTCTGTTCTGTCTTAGGTAAGAGAGAGAACTGAAATTTAGTACCATATAAAAATACGCTTAGTTTTCAAATACTGTAGCTGATCAACAAATATGTGTGCCTCGCAATTTAACTGAGTTTATTTAGTATCTCTTGGTCTCCAGAAATGTATATGAGCCGAAGACTACGTGCTGTACCTAATGTTAGTGCTTTCTTCCAATAGAAATCCACTACTGAAACAAACAAACAGTTTCACAGCTTCTCTACTTCATAAATTATTTGACTCTGTGAGTCTCAAGATTGGTCAACCATACCAAGCTAACACCCGAGGCTGTGCAAACTCCTCCAGTCCCAGTCCAGAGCATATCGCTGTTCCAGTCGCACTGGAACCAGAGAGTCTCTGATACCCCAGTGGCACATGTTCACAAGGAATGATGGTGAGGGACTCAAATTCATTCTTGCTGCTGCTTGCCCTGCAATTTTAAGTCAGATTCCTTGGTATGGAAGAAAATTTCCTTCAGGCACTTCTCTGCCTTCTGACCTTAGTTTGAACATCACGTTTTGACCTAAGCTGGCTTCACTAAGGTACATACATTAATTTCAAAACAGAAGAGCCTCATTCCCTTCCCCAGTCTTCACATATTTATGCACACTTTCTCTTTCTTCCCTGCCTTTCTTCCTGCCATCATACAAAGTCACTTTGCCTTCCTCCTTCCCCTACTTCACAAATATGCAAACACAATAAAAATTCTGCAAATTTTGCTTTACCTGAACACTTGCAGAAGGTGATACAGCCACTTCCGATACAAGCTTTTCTCTTCTGTCTGCGGTACACTGGTCACTACATGTACAGTCCTGCTTAAAATATTTCCTTGGTGGAGGTTTGGGCTTTGATGATTTAGGTTTTCTAACAAGGATCTCTGATGATTTCTTAGTGTTTTGCGACGGTCGACCTCCCTCACTACAAGTCAGAGGGGGATTTCTCTCTGAATTATTACCAGACAATGAGTACAGCAGGCCAGGCTGTCTGGTAATTGGTGCATCAATGCTATGGACTCTTGCTTTCAAGTCAGTCAGTTGGTATGCAGCACCATTACTACATGAGGATCTAGGATTGTAGCTGCTGTCACTGCTGGAGCGGGTCATTAGCTTCTGTGTCCTGCGGTTGCAATGAGCAGCATTCCTTTCAATATGTTTTTCACATGGGTGTCTTCCATGCCAGCTCGTTTCTAGTTTTTTAACACCTGTATCAGGAACATGTTCAAAATGTCTATTCAGATACATGCAAAGTGCTCACTTCTAAGATTCAGCTGATTAAATTTGCAGTGAAATACCATCATTGGTTGATGCAAAGGTATGATTTATGCATTAAAGGCTTGTAGACTGAAGAGTCAACAGTTACATTCTTGGACAGCAAAATAGTATTTTTCACATATATATATATCAGCAGTACAGTTTACTGATGATGATTCTGTTACCTTTGGTCCTTTAGAAGAAATGAGGACACTAAAAGGAGTACCATTGCAATGTGTTACTGTGGGAGGATGTCATAGCTGAACTGGGCAAATAGCTCTAACCATGACTGCATGTGCCTTTCCTCACAAGGGGATTAACAAGCTGTTTGCCCCCAGGACATCAGCTGCATTGTGTAGTTCCTTGCTATCATAAGTCCTGTCACCTACTGACAGTTGTTTGAAAAGCTTTAAGTGGAGATCATGAATTGGAAAGGATGAACAAGAGCGAGAGGAAGTTTGTACAAAAGATTTTTGCTGGCGATCAGCCAGATGTGGTCTTTTGTCATCACTCTGGTAACATATCTTAGGAGACATGTTAGGAACACTGTCCTGTGAGGTTTCCTCCTCTTCCTTTCTGCTCTGGGTTACTTGACTGTTAGCAAGGAGTCTAATACAGCATGTACTCATCCTATATATCTTTTAAGTCAAAATTACTGTGTCTCAATGAATGCACTTATTCCCTTACCTTCAGTACTCCATTGGTGTCTCTCCTTTCCAAATCTGTTGTTTTCCACAGCTTGTGCAACAGCATCTTTTAGCTGTTGCTCAGACACCTAGGAAATATCATGGTATTATCCTCTCATGAGATTGTTGTGGGGTGAGTAACATTTAAACATTTATTCCGTTCACAAAGATTTCCAAGTCCTGCAAGTCCTCTAATAGAAATAATAGGCCTAGTTATATCACACATCAATTAATTTTAAAGCTAACTAATTGCACACCATTATACTCATATATATTCCAGTATAGGTGAAGTATGTCTATGGATGTGCTGTTTATATTGGGTTTTTTAGATAAAATGGGATCTTTCGAAAGTAAGTGTTCTTTTGTATATTTCACTAGAAGTGGAGTTCTGGATTTACCAGTATAAGATAATTTAATACTACATTTTTATGATCGTTTATGCAAAAATATAAACTTGATAATCATTTATATGGTATTTAGTGTTAGGAAGCATTTTGTAGAAAAATCTTGCAAGAATAAAATATTTTACTTTAATATTAATTTAATTATAAATATTGGCTGGACAAGAACTAAATTTTAATTACTGAAAGATGGGTGTATAAACATGTTTTCTTTTGGGGGGGGGTATATTCCCTCTTTCAAACTATTTTCTTATTATTGGGAATTCTTTCTCAAATAAGAAATATATTTTGGTTTATTCCTTAAGTGTTATTTCTGTAATTCCCTTATTCACAGCACAGAAACTCATGCAAGACTGTTTCCACTGATCTTCAAATCTTACATGGTTATATTTAAGATAGTGCATATGTCAGGTTTGTTTGTGTGCAGCAGCGCTTATAGAGGGATCAGCATCTTTGTTATCAACATTTTCCCACCTCTTTTAGATTAGCACCTGCTCCCTCACTTAGTCTTAGTTCTCAATATGTGCTTTATTGAAAGTCAGAAAGAATACAGTGTGTGCTACCTGTGGTTCAGGGTGTCTGCTAATAATAATCTGCACTGCACCAGGATCACAATGGCTTAGCACAGCATAAACTTCATTAAGAGTTGTATTTTGTACTGAAGCTTCGTTAATTTCAATAATTTCATCTCCACACCTACAGAGATATTAAAAAAAGAGAGAGGATGTAAACAAAACAGATTTTCTTTTTCTCCCAACCTTGTCTCATCCAAAAAGTATACAAAAAGCAAATTCATGTGGTTGACCTCTAGTCTGATCACAGATTAAATCATTATGTCTCTCTGTTCCTGTTACAGAAAATGGAATGGGAATGAGTTGGACATCAAGGTTTTTTTGATCTAACTGCCTTGTTGCATGCAACCTTTGAGCTTTCTTCATGTTCAGCTATGCACACTTTGTGATCTTTCTCCTGTATGCAGCTCAGCTGCTGCTTCCACCTACATCTTCCTTCCTTCCTTTCAAGTTAACACTTCACTTTTCACATCTTTATGGTCTGCTAGTGTTATTTAAGGTCAGAAAAGATGTGTTTCTGCTGCGTATGAATAAGTTGTTAACAGAAAAATTCTAGTGAGAAACTATTGTAATCCTGCTGACCGCTAGAGTGAATCTTGCTAGATTAAATCAAAATTTGGTCCACATGGAAACTGAGACTGCCCTTCTCTGCTCTGCTGCAAATACCCACACACGTTAAGAGGCTGGCTGAAAGCACTGACTCATATCATACAAACTTTCAAATAGTGTAAGACCACAGTTCTTTCAGCTAAAGTCTTAGGCATGTAGAGAGGAGGGTTACAGAGCACCTAAAGTTAAATCAAAAGGCCTTCACTAAAAATGCTGTGTTCTGTTCAATTCTAAATATGTTCAACACTACTAATTTGTCATAAATCTTACAAAGTGGATTTCTACACTCCCACTAAAGCTTATTTCAGCAAATCTGTATTTCTTTGGGGCAAGAAGGGATAGAATTTGAGGAGCTTGTGTCAGGAAAAACTAGTGCTCAAACAAGCCAGAATATGCCATATGTTTTGGGTTTGTTTTTTTTTTTTCCCCCCAGATATTTTCTCATTTGGAAATCTCCTCCAGGAAGCATGCTATATGCTTGCCTAAGACCCCCAAAGCTAGCCCAGCCTGGACAACAGACAATAATTTCACTGGGTTGCTATATATCTGGAAATCCCACACATCCTAAATACGCATGCTCAAACCTTCAGAATAGTGCGTATGCTTTAAACCCAAAACTCCCAGAAAGCACTAGACTTCCTGCCCAAACAGGTCAAAAATAAACCCATAAAGCAGAGCAATGAAAAACTTGTGGCATAAGACAGACACTCTTCTTCATCCTACCTGAGTCTCCCATCCATATGTGCCACTGAGCCTGGTGAGAGGGTGTGAATAAAAATCCCCGAAATACACTGGAAGTAAGGAATGCTACATAACCCAATTCCAAGGCCAACACCTGGCTCTGAAAGAATTAATAATAATAAAACAAACATAAGCAGCAGTCAAAACAAACCATTAGAGAGACTTTTTTTAAAAACTGTCTTCAATTTAATTGTTTTTTTTTCCTATACAAACCAGAACTGAAGTATTAACTGCTGCTCCTACTGCTTCTTTCTTTTTTGTTTTCTACTTCTTTTTCCTCTCATGATTAAAGTGAGTGCACACCAATATTGCTTGTGGGGTTCCAAGATCTCGTTTGCAATTCGTTACTGGTGTGTCACAGACACAATATAATGCAGGTTCATTTTGCAATATATCTGTCATTACAGGAGAATTCAAATGACTTTACAAGGAGACAGGAGCAAAAGTTAAGGAGGAAAAGAAAACCCAACCCAAAAATTAAGGATATGTGGCTATTGTTTGCTATATCATCTCAATTCCCTTTCTGCTTTATATAATACAGCTTAAGAATTTTGTGAATTTACCGTATTTGCTCTGGACAATCACTCTGATGTGAGATCCCATACTGTATGTTTGGTAAGTCATACTGTTAACTCATAGAGACTTTGCTTTGTTCATTGCTTTGATGTTCCCATATTTAAAAGTTTATTTAATTCTGCCAGTGGTTGTTTATAAATAGAAGATGATGACAGTTGGAGAGGAGGTGAAAGAACTATAAGAAGATATAGATAGGTATTCTATTTTTTTTAAGCCTTTTCAAGAATGAAATTAACTGCTTGCATAATTATGGGTAAGAGTTGCATAATTTGCTTAATAATTGGTAGTTGTTGCCAAAAGGTTTACTTTTTCACATGAAGTATATGAATGTGACTCTGATGCTTGAGTGAAAAAAAATGAATGATTGGCTCTTGAGGACAGATGGTGTTCAAAATCCTGCTGTTGATAGATAGTTGTTAGCACTGGCAGGCACCAAGATCTAATTTAGTGCATTAAACCTAGTTTGGGAAAAGAATCAGGTTAGTGAGGAAAGACATTCAGAGAGTAAATGAACAGTGTTTTGCAAATCAGTGCCTTGTTTCCCAGTGCTCAGTTAATTTTAGTACTTACCTTTGTTTAGGGTAACTTCCATTATGACCCTGTCATTGGGCTTTGTAGCGTTTAATGAGAATGCTGCACTTTCTGAACTGAAAGAGCTGTTTTCTTTGGTTATGCATGTACTAGAGCTCAGTGACTGACACAAGTGGGGTGACAGACAGCTGGAAGCAGAATGAGGTGTGCTGAAGCTTGTCCTGACTGTAAGTGTCAGAAGACCCTTTTTGGCCTGCTAGAAAGAAAAGATAATGAATGAATGGGTTGAGATCACATGCACGTTGTGTGTAAAGACAGAAATTGTTCTGGAAGGAGAGTACGTAACCTTGAATTTTTGTAATGCATCATAATGTGTTAATCCATGCATGGATTCTCCATTCAGTTCCAGGATTTCATCACCTGTTTTTAGAGAGAAGAATTGTATTATGTTACTATTACTGTATTGTGCAATAAGTTACATGATACATACATGTACTCAAAAGGAGTCTTGCAAATGCAGTAATGGATGCAGGTGTAAAAGTCACTTATGGCTCATTTCCGCTTCACTTTAATCTGCCTTTAGGTATCATTCTTTGGGAATCTGGAGTGGGAAAAGGGAGAGAAGAGGGATTTCCCACCTTCTTGTAGCCTTCCATCAGCAGCAGCAGCTCCACCAGGAAAGATGGTTTTGACATAGATGCCTATTGGTCCATAAATGCTGTCTTTCCCTCCAACAATACTGAAGCCCAAACCCTAATTTATAGAAGAAGAACCATGTGTTCAGTTCTCATAATAGCTAATTTGCAGTTTCTTCTGCATTACCTACATGGGCAGTACTAGTCAACGAAGTAGTATAAGACATGAAAAAATAGTCAACCACGTGCCAGTAGTAAAAGCAAATGAAAATTTAAGTGGAATACCCTCATGATTTGCTTTTTGTTTGTTGCAATCAATTAATTCACTATTACAAACACACAGGAAGGTGTCTAAATTCCTTTTTTTGCACTTGAACCAATAAGCAACCTTGAGAGATTAATTTATCTGTTCCTCTCCTTAATTTCGTCTCCCATAAATGAGATTGATAAAAAACACCATAGAAGATCTTGACATTACTGCTAATTTCAGACACACAGACAGAGATCTCATGGAGAAATCTCTCTCTTACCCTTTACCAAACAGAGTTAATGCGTAGTAAGTTTAAGCAACACCAACAGACCTTTCTAGGTAGACACTTCTCATCTACTTATTCTTTGCCCTTCGCCCCTTATATAAAAGTCAAACACTACCTGCTACCTTTAGAAGGATGTTACAAGACTAATTCACCCCTCTGAAGCCATTTAACATCCCTCAAATGCTAGTGATAGGATGAGAGGAAATGGCCTCAAGTTGCATCAGGGAAGGTTTAGATTGGATATTAGGAAAAATTTCTTCACGGAAGGAGTGGTCAAGCATTGGAACAGGCTGCCCAGAGAGGTGGTGGAGTCACCATCCCTGGAGGTGTTCAATAAAAAGACATGGTTTAGTAGGGATGGTAATGTTGGGTTAATGGTTAGACTGATGATCTTCGAGGTCCTTTTCAAACTTAGTGATTCTTACTTTTACTTTCATTAAAAAATAATCCAGCCCCCAAGCCGGAAAACATGAAATTAATTATTACTCTACCCTTGTTTAGTGGTGGACTTGGTAGTGTTAGGTTAATGGTTGAACTTGATGATCTTAAAGGTCTTTTCCAACCTAAACGATTCTATGATTCTGTGAAATGAAAAGTGAAAGTACTGTGCTGATGACATCTTCATAGGCTCCCAAAATACAGGCAAAAAATGATTATTTTGTAAATGATGATGATAATGATGATACTTCATGTAATTATTTCCAAGAGTCATCTCACAGCTTAAAGTTATAAATAAAATATTAAATACTTTAACTTAAAAGTTATTAATGAACAAATCTAGAACTTTATTCAACACATTCAAAAGCTATGTGTTTAAGTTCATAGCTTCTGCATTCTCTTTTTAAGCTTCTTTAATGACATTACTTTTGTAGATACAGCTGTCTTCTCTCTTTCTCCAGACTTTATCGTGTTTTTTGCAAATGTTTATTGTTTTCTATTGAGGTCCTGTGTGTTCCTGGTAGCTCTTGTTTTCCTTCTCAATAGAATTGTCTTTATGGCTCAACTCTGACTTGACGGAAGCTCTAAGGTTGCTGTGCTAGTGCAACTTGCGCATGACACAGAGTCTATGATTTCAAGCCTACCTCCATATGCCAAAAAGGGTAGCAGTGAATGTCAGTGTTGGTAATGCTATTAGAACCTGAAGACTGTGCTTCAGCAAAGAGATACTTCAGAAGGTTAAGAAGCAAGTGATGATAACTAATCACTCCTGGCAAAGCCTGGATATGAATTGGAAGCCCAGAAGTAGCAACCTTAATACCTGAAGTCACTTCGCTGCACTTTGCAGCTTGCATTTGTGAAAGGAGGTCAAACTCTATGGTAAATCAACAGAGCCAGTCTCACCTTCCCTTGTCCTTTCATCAGTACGATGTTTGAGATTACGGAAGCCTGTGAGGCACAGGATGTGTGCACTAGCTGTGCTGTACTTAGTGATCTAGATGGCTTCGAAATTGCCTGTGAACATTAAAAAAAAATCATTTTAATGCAGAACCAGAAATTCTTGGACATACATTAGCACAACTTGTTTATTTCAAATTTTCCTCCTTATAACTGATGATACTAAATATTGGGGGAAAAAATCAATTCTCTCTAATTTTCAGAAGCCACTTGCTATTCAGACAATCACTGCTAACAGAAATTGTCCCACAGTGACTAAACTAGAGAGAAACTAGAATGTTGGCCCTTGAAGTGGTGCGAAGACGTATTTGCTCTCACTTGACTCTCCATGCTAAAATCCCATTTGTGGCCATTAGGGGTCCTAAACAAGTATTATCGTATTTACCTCTAACTGAACTAAGAAACAAGAAATTCTAACTCCTTCCCTCATCTTGCCACTAAATAACTTTATCTTGCCACATATAGAACCTGTTTTCAGCATTTCCCCCAAAATATGAATTAGTGCTCACAAAAGTTCTTCAGACTGTGAACTACCCTGTGCTGTCTCCATTAAGCTACCACGTAGGCTTCTTTCTACTGCTGAAAGATGTGAAGCACACCCTTTTTGCTTGATAATCAAGGTAAGAAATTTCTCAGTGCTTTTCCTCCCTCCATTCCACAGATAGTGGATTTCTGAACTCCAGTCCCTGAGATTTGACCCAATTTAATGAACCTTTAATGAAATATTTAATTAAAACCTCCTATTTGAACATGGAATTGGGTATTACAAACTAATTTAAGCACTGACAAAAGTCACTACCTAAAGCTACCTATGCATGAAGTT